ACAATCGCGTTGACCAATTTTCTGTTCAATCGTTGTGGCATCACTCCTCGCCCCTATTTTTTGTTCTACCTTCTAGTGCCGCATCACTTTCTCTCAACCCCACTTCAAATGGCCCATCTACCTATTCACACTATTTTGGGCCCTCGTTTCCTCCAATGTCGTCTAAGAGTGTGTCGCCACAAGTGGGCTTAGTGAAGCGTACTCATCTCCAACACCGGTACCAGATGCCGTTTGCAGGGCTCCTGGCCTACATTCTGCCCCCCTTTTTCCTACCCGCTTGTCGATTGGTCATAGCTTCATATGAAAATCACTGTTTGGCTGTCTGAAATAGCGGCTCTCGATTATGCAGATGATGCCCATGTCCATGCATATGCACATGCACATGCCAGTGCCTCGGAATCTTCCTGTTTCTAGGCTTCAAACCCCTGATTCGTTTATCTTCTCTCCTATACTCACCCACATTATGTATTATTCTTTGGGGCCCTGTGTCTGGTTTAATTCATCATCGCCGGTGCGAGAATGCACCGCTTCCCTTTTTCCCTTTGAATCGCTGAAATTTAAACTCCTTTTATCTCAAGCTGGCATTCTCATCTAATCTTAGGGTACCATGATGATGTTTCTGTGTGTATGTGTGTATTGTCCGGTATTCGCCGTCGTCAGGCCTGTCAGCATACACCTCCCCCTCACACATAAACACACCTACACAGACAGCTACGTACGCACACTGGTAAACTATATCTGGCCCACCTATGTCTTTAACCTTTAATAAATTTGCCTCCCTGAATAAATGTTTGGCCAATTCCTGGTTTGACTGCTCTCAGTGCAATCGCCGTTTCTTGACTTCCCTTTTATCCTCATGAGCCGCTCCTTGTTGGGTCCAAGCGTCTTCTTTTTGATGTCTTCGCTGTATCTCCAAGTCTGCTAAGGTAGTACGCGAAATTATCGCTGAATCTCTTCCAATCTCCTGTTAATCAGGTTTCTTTGAAAGAGGATGTCCACAGCTTTCATGATCTTCCGTATTCTGATCACCTTCCCATATAAGACCAGTCTTCCGTTGCATTCGAGTCAATTGTGTGGCCCATAAGGGCGATGTATTTAGCTATCTCCTATCTTTCTGTATCCATTTTTCTGCATAGTCGCTGGTGTTCTTTGATCCTTGTGCTGATTGTCCTTCCTGTCTGTCCGATTAATTTTTGTTCACAGTCCTTGCAGTTTATGCTGTAAACTCCGGTGCACTCCATTTTATTGACTTCTTCGTGTTGTGTGCGCAAGCTGGTGAAGAGCGTTGTCCTTTCCTTCAGGACTGTACGAATGTTCCATTTCCCTAGTATCGGCCGTAGCTTCCGAGGCAATTCGCAGGAGGGTAGACATATTCATCTGTTCCTCTTGCTTTCCTTTCATGATCTACGTTCTTCCATCTGTTCATCGCCATCCATATGTTGTGTTGTATTGCTTCTTCTGGATATCCGTTTCCAAGACACATCTGACTTAGTTTTCCTATTTCCTCTTCCCAAAACTCAGAATCAGTCAGTCGTAGGATTCTTATGATTATGCTGCGGAGTATTTCAATCTTCATTCCAAAAGGATGGTTCGACTGGTAGTTAAGAGTTTTTCCAACACACGATTTCTTTCGGAAAAGTTTTTTATTGAGAGTTTCATCGGAGCGATTGACCTCCACATTCAAGAACGGTAAGTGTCTGTTCTCTTCTGCATCCGTGGTAAATTTGACTTTCTCATCCAGGAAATCGTCTAATTTTTCTTACCGATTAGACCAAATTGCGAAGTAGTCATCCAAATATTGCATAATTACTGTTGGTTGCTGGGGTGAAATTTTAAAATTTTCTTTTAACTTTTCCATGAAGACATTAGCTAACAGATGTGAAAGTGGTGAGCCCATAGGCAAAGCAAATATTTACTTTTAGATGCGGCCGTTAAACGTGAAATAGGTCGTTCTTATTGTTAGGCTGATTAATCAGGTTAAAGACTCTTGTATGTGAATT